TTGAAGATTGACATCTCCAAGTATAGGGGAGTCGAAGAGGACTCCCTCTTGAGATGGTTCGTCGAATTGGATGACGCCATAAGGGCGCGTCGCATCGACGACGGGGATATGCAAGTTGCATTTGCCCAGTCAAATCTGGCAGGACGTGCCAAGACTTGGGCACTGGGGCTCAAGTTGCACGACCCATATGCGTTTGGGTCGTTGGAAGTCTTCAAGTCGCGGCTCAGACAAACGTTTGAACCGCCTAGAGCTGAGTTCAGAGCTCGAACCGAACTCTTGAAGCTCAAGCAGGGTAAGCGTGATGTGCACGCTTACGCGCAACATATACGACATCTCACGAGTTGTATAAGTTCCAATCCGGTGGATGAACACACGTTGGTTTCGGTGTTCATGAAGGGTCTTGCGGATGGTCCCGTCAAGACTCACCTGTTCCGACTTGAACTAGATTCACTAGAACAACCCATTTCCATTGCGGAGCAGGAAGACTTCAGTCTGAGACAGGCTCGCGCCAGCTCGACATCATATCGTCAACCGAGACGATATGACAACGGAGGTCCAGAGCCGATGGAACTCTGTTATGTAGAGAGCGAGAAGGCTCGCTCTACAGGCTACAAGAAGTTGCAGAGATGCAACAGATGTCAAAAGACAGGACACTACGCTTACGAGTGTAGTGCCCCTCGTCCAGTGTCTTGCGACACTGGGCGTAGTGACCGTCCACCCATGAGAAAGGGGCAGGGACGCGGGTCCGCTGTTGGTGCAAAGACGCAACAACGGGATGGACCGTCATAAAACGGACAGGATCAGTATGTGCGGAGCACCCTACTGATCCATCAACGTCAAGAGAATTTTCAGGCCTCTTGATGAAGGTTGCTCCCAACACACAAACGTTGTGCGTTGCTGCTCTAGGTAATGAGGTCTCACTCATTACCTTGAAACTCGATGTGACGAATAAGTTGTCCTTCGAGCTCTAGTCGATTGTGGGGCGTCCAACAATTTTGTGCGACGCCAATCGCTAGAAGATGGTCACTTTAAATTCAGTGAATGTGACACACCTCCTACGAGGATGACGGTACGTCTTGCGACAGGCGCATCCGTAACCGTCATGAAGCGTATAGTGAAGATCCACTATACGCTAGAAGATACCCAATATGACGATGACTTTATCGTATTGGATTTGGATGAAAAATTTGATGTCATCCTTGGAATACCGTGGCTCAGAAGGTACGAACCACGGGTAAACTGGCAACATCGGACAGTAACGATGCCTGCCGCTTGTTCATCAGATGGCCATCTGATGAACGTCTTGGAGCGTCCACAAGCGTGTGGATGTACTACGAGTGAGTGCGATGGCCTCACTTGTGGTACGGTCGTTAGTACGACTGCACAAAAACTTAGTATAACAAACGGTTACACTTCGGAGCAAAGTTCCGGCGGATGTGAGGAAACACAGGCTGCGCCGAAGGTCCACCACTCGAATAAGTCGGGTGGACTGGGACAAAGATGTATCCTTAGCGGGGACCATCCAGAAGAGAAACAATCGGTCGCTCAGTTTAAGCGAAACGATAATCCTAGATCGACTGGAGAGTCTTTCGTAGAGGATCTCGCTGTGGTGGCGCAAACCCCAGCTAGAGGAAGTTAAGGGAATAAGTCCCGAAATTACAGATACGGTGGAAATAAGTTCCCCGAAACCCGCGGGAATAAGTCCCCGGGAAGCCGAAGGAATAAGTCCTTCGAGGCCTGAGGGAAAAAGTCCCCAGGAAATAACAGAGACATTGAATGTCATAGTCAATAACGGATCAAGTGTAGGCGCTTATACACTTGATCTGATTGCGCCTCCGAAGTTGACTTCGGAGATCACTCAGTTGCCAACGCTCGAACATAAAAGGTTCTTGCGTGATCTGTGTGGTGGCAAAGTCAAGCAGATCTGCATACTCGTCGCTGACGACGAGTGTATAACCGACATAAGGTCAGCAACAGTGTTTACTGAGAACGAGAGAGTTCTCAGTAGTTCATCTATGGACGAGAGTGTCCTAGATGAAAAGACACGAGTTGAGCGATATGACTCCCAATCGTGGGAATCGCTCAAGACAAATCCTCTCTATGAAGATTTGGTTGAATTCAAGGATGTATTCCCTGAAACTGTTCCGTGCGAATTACCGAAGGATAAAGGTATTCGACACGAGGTCGAGCTTAAACCAGGCTCGAAGTACTGTGTCATGAAGCAGTGGCCACTGCCTCGTGAACAAGTACTTGCGAAAGACAAGTTCTTTGCCGATCGTTTAGCTGCGGGCCACGTGAGGGAATCAACTTCCCCACATAGCTCTCCGACTTTCTGTGTGCGAAAAGCAACAGGAGGGTGGCGGATTGTGCATGCATTAACAAATTGAACGCTGCAACGGTACCGGCTCAGTCGCCGATACCAAGGAAGGACGTAATCATTGATGGTATGTCAAAGAGTACCATCTTTTCGTCCATGGATTTGATGGATGGTTTCTATCAAATCCTTATGCGAGAACGGGATATACCATATACCGCAGTGAGCACGCCTAGCGGCATGCTCTGGCAATGGCTAGTAATGCCACAAGGGCTTAGTAATTCCCCTGCCACGTTCAACAGATGTGTATCGCATCTGTTGAGACCAGTTCGCGAATTCGCGCCGAGTTATTTCGATGACGTATTCATCCATAGTCGAGCTATGGATGGAAAGTCGGACGTTGAGGTTCACAGGTACCACGTCCGACAGGTTCTTGCAATTATGCGAAAGCATCAATTGTATGCAAACCTCAAGAAGTGTATATTTGCAGCAAGCGAAATACCACTTCTTGGGTGCATCGTTGGTGAGAATGGGGTACGTCCTGATCCCGAAAAGATCAAGGCGATCGCCGACTGGCCTGTGCCGGTTGATGTCAAAGGTCTTCGAAAATTTCTTGAGCTAGCGGCGTATTTGCATAAGTATTCACGCAATTACGCCGAGATGACTGTGCACCTCTCTCGTTTGTTGAAAAAGAACGAGAGGTGGTTATGGAACGCGGAATGTCAGCGCTCCTTTGATGGTATCAAGCAGAGCTTGATACAATCCTTAGTCCTAGCAACTGCCGATCAGGACAGGCCATTTCATGTGGTCTGTGATGCCAGCGATTTCGCAATCGGCTGTGCATTAATGCAGTACGACCTTGAAGGCGTTGAACGCGTCGTCTGCTATCAGTCGCGTCAGCTGCAACCAGATGAGCGGAACTATCCAGTGCATGACAAGGAACTCCTTGCCATGAAGTATGCACTCGCGAAGTTCAGAGTCTATCTATTAGGAGATAGACCCTTCATTGTTTACACTGACCATGCGTCTCTACGCACGGCAGTAAACAGCCCGCACCTTTCACAACGAATGGCGCGGTGGTTGTCATTCTTTGCGGAATACAACTTTACGGTAGAGTACAGACCAGGACGACTTAATGTCGTTGCTGATGCACTCTCACGTCGGCCCTACTTTGAACCAGTCGTGAAACCCAACAGTGAGACAGCCACTGTTGCGGTTGTGACGTCCTCAATACCATCTTCGACATTACATGATGATGTGAGGCGGGCATATGCCCAAGATGGTGAGCTTGTGACGTTGTGGACACATCTTTCACAACCATCTCGAGAATCGCTGAATCGATCATCGTCTGCGTATCGATCTGCATCAGATCGATACACTACTCGCAACAGTTTACTGTATTATACAGCCGTTACTGGTGACACACCACGTGTTGTCATTCCAGATGACACTGATCTGCGTTTGCGGATCATGTTCGAGTATCACGATGCTCCTATAAGAGGACATCGTGGCCGTGAGAAAACAAATCTCACGGTAAGTCGAGACTTTTACTGGCCCCGCCAGTATCAGTTTGTGCGAAAGTATGTTCGCGCATGCGAAGTCTGTCAACGAGTAAAGTCAAGTCCTTCACTGCGTGCACCTTTACAGCCTCTACCGGTTCCGGCTGAGTGCTGGGAATCCATCTCAATGGATTTCGTCTTCGGGTTATCCAAAGACGCATGCGGGAATACGGGTATTCTCGTATTTGTTGACAGATTCAGCAAAATGGTACACCTTGTGGCTGTACCAGAGACAATCACGGCAATTGGCTGTGCTTGTGTCTTTATTGACACCATCTTCCGACTTCATGGGTTGCCCCGTGAACTCGTATCAGACAGAGATCCACGATTCACTGCTGATTTCTGGCGTTCCGTGTTCAAATCACTCGGAACGCGCTTGAAGATGTCGACATCTGATCATCCAGAATCAGATGGTCAGACGGAGCGAGCCAATCGTGTCCTCGAAGAGATACTTCGAGGATACGTACACTCCTTTAAGAGTTGGAGTGAGTTCTTGTCAATGGTGGAGTTTGCCATTAACAACTCGGTGCATGCGTCCACGACACATACACCGTTTTACGTGAATGGCTTGCGCCATCCGCGTGTACCCACCTTACTAGAGTGTAACTCTGGTTTCAGGGGGGAAGGGACTCGCGCGAGCAAAAACCGATTTGGTTCACGCTCATCACGCCCTGACGAAGAGGTCATTGCGTTTGATGCCGATATCGATGACATCAATATCGAAGAAGATGATGCCAGTGAGAGTGCGGAAGCCCTCAATGAAGAAAAGGTTGATGTTGCTGCAGTGCGCTCACAGCGCACTGAAGCTAACGAGTCATCAGATGAGTTCATACTTGTTCGTGAAACGGTAGTCCGTTTTGTGCAAGACTCCATCGCCGAAGCGGTGGATAAGCAAAAGCAAAACGCTGACAAGAATGGAAGGGCAAACACTCTTTTATTTAATAAAGGTGACTTAGTCCTACTGTCTACGGTTAATCTATCAAAGCATGTAGTGACTAACTTGGGTAGCAGTAAACTACTACCCAAGTACATCGGCCCATTTCGTGTATTGCACCGCCTGGGCAATGCATACACGATCGAGTTACCACGTAAGATGCGAACGCATCCCACGTTATACGTTGGTCGGCTTAAGCCGTACCATCAGTACGCTGCTTCTTCCGATGAAGAACGCCCTTGCGCTCAAGCATCTCACAGAGAGCCTTGTGCTCCCGATGGTGGGCATCAACAAGGGTCTGAAGAGCAGCTATCTCATCCCGAGACCGATCAACAATCCCACGAGCTACCCTTAGCTCGTCACGAAGAGATGTCAGAGATCTCTCGTTCTCAAGCTGAGCAAAGGCAAACTCAGCTCGATGCTTCGAGGCAGTGTCCGCCATTTGGAGACGCCTATTCCGCTCATGTTCGACATCGTCGCGTAACCCTTGCGTTACGCGATCAAAGAAGCTCTCGGGAACACACCGATCCCCATGATCGTGTGGAGAGCGTCTTTCCTCCTCCTCCACCTCCATTAGAGGACTCTCGCGGTGGCCAGCGCTATCTAGTTGAGCAGCTGTTGAACCACCGCGACGTGAACGGACGTCGGACGAGTTATCTCGTCCGGTGGCGCGGCTATCCCCCGTCCTGGGATTCTTGGGAGCCCCGCTCCCAACTGATGATCGACGTTCTGGGTCTGGTTGAGCAGTACGACGCTGCTCATCCTGTGCCGCAGAAGGACCGCCGGAGAAAGTCTTCCCGGCACGGTCGTAAAGGGATTTCAGGTTGTCAATCCCTTCGTACATCTCAATAGAGATACGTACGCGCCACCACGGGCTATTAGGGAGGTAAGCCTTCTTAGGTGCTCGTGCAGAGTTGTTTACACAACACGGGCACGAGTCTCCTCAAGAGAGGCAGGGTAATCCCTTCTCCCTTGACAGACGATGCAGCTTGTAGCGTGCACCTGTCGGGGTTCGCTTTTCAAACTTATCACGAGCTTTGATAAGTTTGTCGTTCCAAGCGTCACGACCTACATCCTCAAGGTTATGGATGTAGGCGTTCCACGCCTGAAGCAGTGAGGGACCATCAAGTTTTTGATTCCCACTGTTCCATCGATGCTTAAAGAAAGCATCGATGAAGAATTCATTCTCAGCGCGATAGTTTTTCGCGCTGGGGTCAAGGTGATGGATCCTTAACGAATCGAACAATCGTGTTCGATAACGATCACTCGTCATCGCCGACAAGTGATCCATGGCTGACTTTGGAGGCAGCCAGGCCTTCTTTTTCGGGAGCGAGACGCAACAAACTGCGGTCCCGCTCTTCTTGCGACGTGCCGACAGAAGTACTGGCACCTCGTTGCGAAGTGGTGTCAATAGGAGAACCGACACCACTGTAAGCGCCCGAGTCTTGCGACCTCGAGCGCCTTCACTTCGGCGATGGTTCATCTGATTCGTCAGATGAACCAAAGATGCTGCGACGCGTAGCATCATCCATGCCACGCTTGGCAGGCGGCTTGGTTTCTATCGCCGTCGATACAGATCCCTCTTCCGTATCAGGAGAGTATGAGACACCGAGATCATACTCTGTGAAGACATGAGTGTCTTCATGACCAGCGCCTGCATCACCAGGTGATAAAGGCTGAGACGCTTAAGCAACCGATGACACATCAGTTGCAGCGGTTTCTGCTTCGGCGTCTGCACAGAGACGTGCAGACGCGCTCTCAGCTTCCTTGTTCGCGCACCGCATGGGCTTGTTAACCATGCGATGAAATTAATGGATTGTGGACTCGGACCACCAAGTGCAAACCCCGTCCCAAATGGTTTGGGGCGAGTCCATTTAGTCAATCAGTCACTAAAGTGACTGATGGTTAAGGGGGGGTGATGTAACGGGGTGAATCGTTACAAAACAATTTATAAGAAATTGTTAATAGAATATAATTATAAGAGTTATATTCTCAGAATATGGTCATAAGGACAAATATTCTGGAGCACTTACGAGTAGTTCCTAATTGGTTGATATGGGCCATTATATCAACCAACGAAGACGCGCCACGACAGGGGCACGCAATGAGTGGTGATCAGATAGTTGATATACATATTTGTATTTAGACATAGTTAGATGAAGATAAATAGTGATTTATTGCAGACATTAACTATTATAAATACAGTTCTACTTTTTACTTTAACCAAGTACTCGCTTCTTCTTACCGTCTTCCTCTGCACGTACGAGTGTACGTGAAATTCCGAGGCACCGCCTTATTCTGTCATCAGAATAAGTAGCTTGTACTGTCATCAGTACAAGCTTGAGGGTGTCCCGTAACAGTTGCTGCAGAAATGGCGCGTGTCGTGTGCGTGGTCCCACCCACCCCTTGCACAGCCAGTCGAACGCACTCGCACAACTACTGGAGCTTCTCAAACGTGAAAAACTTGTCCGGTCGTGGATCCATCACCTATAATACGCAGGAAAATTAGTCGACAGGAGCACTACACGATAGATACATCATTCTTGTTTCACACACACGTCATTCATATACTGTGAAAACAGTTACGACAGCATATTACATAAGTCAGGTCTTTTAAATGCAAAACCTTTGGATTTTATACGTTCGAATCATATCGCGCATGACCTGAATCTACTCAAAAACTAATGTCGCACAGTAACGTGTTACGGCTGTCAATGTAAAAAAATTCCTAGTTGCAGCATATTATTACCGTACCGTCATTTTTTGTGCTTAGCCTCCTCCTGATTTTTCTTTCGCATAAACGGCGACAGAAGCCTGTACGAATCCCCTATCCAGAGGTTTCAGTCCGAGCTAGGGACTATCCCCGCCGAAATTGGGCGGCCAAGAGAGGTGGGGGTGCGGAACGTCTTGGCTGGCTACCGCAAATTGAGGAATGTAAGGATAAGGAATTGTCAAGTATGATTTGGCGAAATAACATTGATTATGTGCTGAAGTAGTACTGGTCTGCAACTGGTGCGAGTTTTGCAATGTTCGCATTTATCTAGTGCTAGGTTCGCAATCTACTCTTGCTTGTACGACAACTGTCACAAAGATACAATATTTGAGCTTTGCTCATTACCTGTGAAATGCCCTTGATCTAAAATTTAGGGTTCCTAAGATTCTTTATACGTATTTCTTCCCTTCTTACCAGAAAAAAATAGCCCGGATAAATTATGTCTGACATAAGTATTTTACCGAAGCGATAAAAAGTGGTATCAATATTAGACGGTAATACGACGGCTTAACATTCCATTATTGATACAGGTCATGAACCATTGTTTTTCTATGCATCTATTATACGCATATTTTGCTTAAACATGGCCCTACATCAATTTTTGACAAGAGCATATGCGATTTATATCTGCTGCATTATTTCAGAAAAATGGTGTCCTACAAACGATAGAAAAATGCACAATACTTTCCAAAAACCCTTCAAGAAGGAGATTGTGTGTTGACAGTTCGTGCTTCGTGCTCCCATCTTTGAAAATGGATCAATCATTTTGATCACCTATTCTTGTAGGAGAGGACTGATATTGCCTTTAATCTTTCGAAGTGAATGGCCAAAAAAAATACAGCAAACGGTAAAAATTCGAGTCTAAAATCTACATATTATCGCTCTTGCCTCCAAACAGATACAATATACGGAAGGGTCCAGTGTAACCACATTTTGATGTTGCTCTTCGTTCTCTTAGATGCTAGATTCTGTGATCGTCCTTCAGCTGTAACAAGCATCTATGTAAAAGAAATCATATTGGTTGGTGCTTGGTTTCCTGTGTCTTAGACACATGGTATGTTATTGCACTGAAAGAGATGTGTTTAATTCATCCGTTTTTAGGGGATGACGAGTGTCGGCCACAAGATAAGAAAAAATTGGAGGTAACAATTTAAGGCAGATGTTCCTAAGCTAAGAAATATTAACATTTAGATCTTATATTGAGGTGAACGTCAGCAAATTTCAGTTCCCCGTCTGATCTTGTCGAATGCACGAGGCTTGCGAGGCGTCTTTTATCGTAGATCTTTTAAATGTAGCAATAACATTCGAGGTTGCTGCTCTTGATCACTAATGGAAGTATCATCACTGAAGCGTTCGTTCCCCTGGAACATGGACCTCAGCTTTACGCTTCTTGACTGAAGGAGTCTAGTTCGTTGGAGCTGGTATTGCTCTTTAAGCACCAAGTCTTTCTCTGTTTTTAGGATATGTTTGGCTCCGCTACAATCTAGGACGTAAGTCCTTATCTTTTCGGACAGTTCATGGAATTAAGTCTTCGTGCACAGAAAAAAAACAAATGAACTAATCTGTTTTACAAATTGGTGTTGTGCACAGGGAGGTTGACTTTGATACTTTGTAAGCTGCTATTATCCGCACATAATCGAGCTCGACATTGCATGGTCCGTATTCGCACTAAAGATTTCAAGGATAAAAATTTGAGGCTGAGCCTTGTTGCCCATGGTCAATATTTACTTGAAGATGACTTATAGTTCGGTTAGCTTGCGCAAGTGACGATTGATAAGTATACCTGAATTCTGTGACAGTCGTGTGGAATTCTTCAACGCACGTGATACGCAATCTTAAATGTTGTTTGGACATGCTAAATTACGCACGGATACGTTGTATGTTCTTTTTACTTCCTTGTAACTTCGGTGGCTGGGCTGGCTAAAACGCTTCGTACCGCCTAATATTGTGCCATGTATGATGGTGTGCATTTCTTGTGGTTTTAGTTTGGAATTTTGATTATTGAACAAGTATCGATACGAAACTTCACACTATTTGTAGCGATGTTTCCTGTGATTGACCACGATCGTTTTAAAATTAGAAACTTCATGTTCAAAAATGCACCCGATATGTCCATAATCTCTCGACTGTTGCCTAGATACTTGGATTTTTACTTAAAAAGTCTTGCGGTTATAAAGCCAATACTTTTAACATACTTCCGTGTGAGATTGCAGCTAATTACATGAATGAGCACTTTATTTTTTTTGAACTTATACGAGCAATCAAGGGGTTATGATCCTGATAGAATATGAGACAGCTTAATGGTCTCGTACTTAGGGTACCATAATTGCTACTCTTCGGAATGATTAGTTACGTGTCTCAATTAAAAAAAGCAGAATTATATTCTTTGCATGACAAGTCAAATGTCTAGTAGTTCCGTGACGATACAACTCCCTTTCTTTATCATGTCCTCTAGTGTGCGGCCCAAACAGCTAATATCGTATCTGGTTCCGTGTAAATAAATGGTCGTGATCGTTTTGTACATATCCATACAAATATTTATTCACGCGATCCATACCAACTTTATTTCGTCTTGTAATCTAAGTCTGATACCTTGAACTCACTAAAATACAAATCTCTATCGTGTCCAAGTTGTTAGTTAAAGAGTGTGTCTTGCAGCACCCTTCAATTCATATTGCCTAAAATACGCGTCTTACGGTGCATATCCCGTCACGATTGTTAAATGGATGATGTGTGAATCGAAGTAAGACACATTCCTGGTCATATCATTACGGCCACACCCAATGGTGCTCATAATTGCATAAATAGTGCAAATTAGACGCTGTTACTTCAGTATTGTAACGGGGCTCTCTTGTTTGGGGTTCCACGAAACCTTACGTACACTCGCACGTGCAGAGGAAGATAAATCTACTCAAACTACTAATTTAATTGAAGGGTAAAAAAAGAACTGTATTTTATATAGTTAAGCTATCAATTAAAATTCATTTTTATCTAAATACGTAGATCTACATTTGTATGACGACAACCTGCTCACAACTCATTGCGCGCGTCTAGCAGCGTTGGTGGTAACC